CGTCTCAGGGTTACACCTTCAGCCTTGGCTCTTGTTCAGTTTCTTGGCGTTCTACACGCTCGTCTTCTGTTCTCAGCTCCAGTTGTGAGGCTGAGATCTACGCCACAGCCATGGCTGCACAGGAGTTACGCTGGCTCACCTACCTGCTGACCGACTTGGGAGAGCGGCCTCGTTCTCCTCCAGTGCTGTACGTCGACAACAAGGCTGCCATTGCCTTGTGTGAGGAGCACAGACTGGAGCACAGAACGAAGCATATCGCTCTGCGCTACTTCCTTGCTCGAGAGCTGCAGCAGCGCGGTCAGCTTCGTCTGTGTTACGTGGCCACTCGGGCCAACACTGCTGATGTGTTCACCAAGGCGCTTCAGCCTTGTGACCATCAGCGCTTCTGTACTGTTCTAGGCCTCGTGCCTACTGGGCCTCACTTGCTTACTTCTTGACTCTGCTTGTACTGTGATCTCTATATATATGCCTGCTTGTTTACTCTTGCTAGGTTGTGATCACTGTATCTCTTGTTATACTATCAACCTGCATATGAACTGGTCTTGTGACCACTTGCTTGTGCTCAGAATTTGTGTGGTTTCCTTGAGATCCACCCTGAGCTTGCTTTGCTTTGCTTTGACTGGTCTTGTGACCATCTGGTTGTCTCCCACTTAGCCTATGGGGGTGTGTCCAACATTATATGTTTATATTGTGTAGGCTATAGTGGGTTTAGCCTTAGGGGGTACAGCTTTGTTAGGGTTTCCTACTTGTATCCCCCTCCTACCTAGTTTCATCCATTCTTGTTCTATTCTAGATTATAACAACGCGAGGTCAGGTCGTGTGCACGTCATCAGGTACATGAGGCAACCCACAAGCTCTGGGTACAGACCACTCGGCTCTACGGACTCGTCCGAAGGTGGAGCTGAGAGCGAGTGGCCGGTAGACAGAGGAGTGGGCTGTGGTGAGGAGAACTGGAAGCCGAAGCACTGAAGGATCTGGTGCACCATGTGTGACTGAGTCAGTGTGATGGTGCGCCGTGCTCTATCCCGGGTGATCTGCAAGCCAAGATAGCTGCGCGGTTCACCCAGGTCAGTGCAGGTGTGTCTCTTCTGCAGCTCCGACTTCACAAGGGTCAGTGCCTCAGTGTCAGCAGTGGCAAAGACGAGGTCGTGGACGTACACGAGGACGTAGAACGGCGGCAGCGACGTGTCGGTGCGTAGAAACAGCGACGGGTCAGCAGTAGGAGTAAACCCCAGAGCCGCAAGTGTAGTCTTCAGTGTGTCGTGCCATTCTCGGGGCGCATGGCGGAGACCGTAGACTGGCCGCCGGAGGCTCCACTGGGCACCCGCAAGAAATGACCCAGTGAAGCCAGGTGGGCGGCGCAGCCAGATCTCCTCGTGAAGGCTACCCTGTAGGAAAGCTGTGGAGAAGTCAAGGGAGTGCAGCGCGTAGTCAAGCTGTGCTGCAACGTGCAGCAGCACCCGAAGAGTAGTCATCTTCGGGGTGGGGGAGAAGGTCTGGAAGAAGTCGACCCCCTGACGCTGACTGAAGCCTCGAGCAACGTAACGCGCCTCGAAGGCAGGCGGAGAACCCAGCGGCCGCTTCACTATTAAAATCCACATGCCATCGACTATGTTCGCCTCAGGAGGAGGAACCTCATCGACGTAGGTGCTTGTGGACTTCCAAGAAGCCATCTCTGCGTCCATGGCTGTCTGCTTCTGAGAGGAGTACTCACTCGTGATCGCCTATGTGTAAGAGTACGGGGTAGGGATGTCAAGTGCATCCGGGTCTCCCTCAGGGCAAAGCAGCATGGATGCGAAACGAGGTAAAGCGGCCGCAAGACACTCAAGCTCAAACTGTCTATCCTCAAGTACGTCACTGCCAAGGGCAAGCTCACCCCCGACAGACGGAGGACAGACAGATTCAGACTCGCGACGTAGTTGAGACGACTCATAGCTGCAAAGTCGACTAGCTCAGGGACTAGGGCAAACACTGCAGTAGACTCAAGGTCAGGGTCAGTGACGACAGTAGCGAGGAGACGAGTGACAGTAGGACTGGCAGTACGAGCAAGGTCGGACTCAGGGTCAAGAACGTGGAGAAGTGAGGACGCGGGAGGCTCAGGCAGGACAACACGCTGTGGAACAAAGGAAGGACGAAGTGCTATACCATGAATGCCTGGGACAGCAGGAGGACAAGGACGGGCAACATGACGAGCACAAACAGGTGTGGAATCACAAGTCTCAGGCTCACGACGCTCAGTCAGGGACTCAGTCACCTCACTGGGAGGTGCAGGTGCACGCAGCGGGGAGCCAGGCAGTGGCTGTGGCTGAGACTGGTCTGTCGGTGGACACAGGAGGGGTAGAGGGAGGCCAGTAGAAGACGGGAGACTAAGAACCGGGCAAAGGACCGAGTCAGGCGGCAGCAGGAACGACTGCGGCTGTGGGTAGAAAAACGGTCTGCGCAGGGCAGAACTCGCAGCTCTAGCTCCTCCAGCACCAGCAGCACCAGCACCTCCAGCACCAGTAGCTCCAGCAGCACCTCCAGCACCTCCAGCACCAGCAGCACCACTAGCTCCGGCAGCGCCAGGACCTCTAGCACCAGTAGTACCTCCAGCACCTTCAGTGCGAGTAGCTCCAGTAGCACCTCCAACACCTCCAGCACCAGCAGCACCACCTGCTCCGGCAGCTCCTGTACCTCTACTACGAGCACCTCCAGGACCAGCAGCTCCAGCACCTCCAGTACCTCCAGTACCTCCAGCTCCAGCGCCTCCAGCACCAGTAGTACCTCCAGCACCTCAAGTGCCAGCAGCTCCAGTAGCACCTCCAGCACCTCTAGCACCAGCAATACCACCTGCTCCGGCAGCTCCAGCACCTCTAGCACCAACAGTACCTCCAGTACCTCCATTGCCAGCAGCTCCAGTAGCACCTCTAGCACGAACAGCACCACCAGCTCCGGCAGCTCCAGCACCTCCAGTATGAGCACCTCCAGGACCAGCAGCTCCAGCACCTCCAGTACCTCCTGCTCTAGTGCCTCTAGCACCAGCAGCACCTCCAGCACCTCCAGCACCAGCTGTACCTCCAGGACTAGTAGGTCCAACACCTCCAGCACCAGTAGCACCTCTAGGACTAGTAGCTCCGGCACCTCCAGCACCAGCAGCACCTCTAGTACCTCTAGCACCAGCAGCACCTCCAGCACCAGCAGTACCTCAAGTACCTCCAGCACCAGCAGTACCTCTAGGACTAGCAGCTCCAGCACCAGCAAGACCGTACCCTCCACCACCAGGACTGCCTCGCTGAACGATCCACGCACGAATCGCATGCGGCAAGAGCGTCTCAAGTAGGTCAGGCTGCGGTGGCTGTCCAGCTCTAGAACCTCCAGCAGGGTCACCCACAGCTCCACCGCCACTAGGAATCGCAGGACCCCCAGAGTCAGCACCCCCAGTCGTAGCACCCCAAGAACCAGCACCCCCTAGCGCAGCACCCCCAGAACCAGCACCCCCAGTCACAGCACCCCCACAACCCTCACCCTATGTCTCAGCACTCCCAGGCTCAGCACCAGCAGTCTCAACTCCAGAGTCCAAAGCTGCAGGCTGCGGAGGCGGCGAAGACAACCGAGGCGGAAAACCAGGGGGGGTCTCCAAGCGTGGAGAGCGGCGAGTAGCCGCCGTGTTGTCAGCGGCGGGGTCACCCCCCTCTGCTGGGTCAGAGGAGTCAGAAGAGACCTCCAAAGGCTCAACCAAGGGGGGTGGGTCTACCTGAGACACACCTGAGGGAGCAGGACCCTGTGGGGGGAGGGGGTCTACCGGGGGGGGGGAATGGTACCAAGAAAAGAGGTGCTAGGGGGACCGGGTGGGACGCGTGCGGGTGTAGCCTGTAGTAACAGACAGACTTGTCAAAAGTGACGTCCTGGGAGGAGAAGACTCGACGCGAGCACGGGTGGTAAAACTGCCACGGCGGGGCATCGGTGGGGAAGCCAAGGAAGACGCAGCGGAAATTGCGAGAGGAGAGCTTGCTCGCTTTGGCATCGCGAACAAGGGAGAGCGCGCCCAAGACTCTAAACACTGACGCATCGCCAAGCTTCCCCGTCCACCGGAGTGTGGGCGAGGTCTCTGGCTCAGAGACACGGGGCCAGAGGTTGAGGTGATGCATTGCGTATCGGACCGCAAACGGCCACAAAAAATGGGGAGCAACCGCATGGATCATGGAGGTACGAGCAACCTCCATGATCAGGCCAATGCGACGTTCAGCAATCCCATTTTGCTGAGGAGAGGCCGGAAGCGTGAACGACTGGACGATGCCCTCGTCTCGACAGAACTCCGCAAGGAGGTCAGAAGAGAACTCACCGCCCCTGTCAGAGTGCAGACGCAGGACTGGGAAGTCCCGACTAAACCGCTCGCGCAGCTGGCGATGAGTAGCATGTTAGAAACAAGAAGTAGGCAAAGTTTAGGTTAAGGGCCTAGGCTTAGAAGCCTAGGCCATGGGAGTCGAGGTGGTTGTGCCAAGTCGAGAGAGTCGAGAGAGGAGAATGAATGATTCACTAGCAAGAGTTGGGATACAAATACAAGACCCTAAATTGGGTTGTACTCACTACAGAGTACCCCACTGCAGGCTAGATAACAAATATATTCTGACACACCCCCATAGTCAAAGTGGGGTATAATCAGCAGAGCAAGCAGTCATAGAACAGGTTCACAAGAACAAGCAAAGCTAGAGGCATTCACAAAGGGCAAGTGAGGAGGAGGAGGCTGGACTCTGAGCCTCTGCTCAACCTCCTCCAACTGTCCCACCCCCCTTTCACACACCCCTTGCTGCACCCCTAGCTCCACTCCCACTTCACCCCCCTAGCACCACTCTCTCGGCTCCCACACACCCACCCCCCTCAGCGGCAGCTGCAGCAGTGGGAGACGGAGGAGGAGGAGCAGGGGACGGTTCACACACCCGCCACCCCCATACCCTCCCCCCCACTGCTGCACTTGCAGCAGGGGATGGAGGAGAAAAAGGGGGGGGGGGGGGAGGCTGTGCATGGTGCGTGCAGCAGGGCAGCAGGGCGCGCGGGGCGCGCAAGGCTGCAGTGCGCGCAGGGCGCGCAGGGCAGCAGGACAGCAGGGCGCGCGGGGCGCAGCAGGGCCGCAGGGCGGCAGGGCGCGCAGGGCGCGCAGGGCTGCAGTGCGCGCAGGGCGCGCAGGGCAGCAGGACAACAGGGCGCGCAGGGCTGCAGGGCGCGCGGGGCGCACAGGGCAGCAGGGCGCGCGGGCCCAGCAGGGCTGCAGGGCGCGCACGGCAGCAGCAAGGGCTGTAGCGGCAACAGCAAGGGCTGTAGCGGCAGCAGCAGGGCAGCAGGGCGCGCGGGGCGCAGCAGGGCTGCAGGGCGCGCGGGGCGCGCAGGGCAGCAGCAAGGGCTGTAGCGGCAACAGCAAGGGCTGTAGCGGCAGCAGCAGGGCAGCAGGGCGCACAGGGCTGCATGGCAGCAGGGCGCACAGGGCTGCAGGGCAGCAGGGCAGCAGGGCAGCAGGGCGCGCGGGGCGCGCAGGGCAGCAGGACAGCAGGGCGCGCAGGGCTGCAGGGCGCACGGGGCGCAGCAAGGCTGCAGGGCGCGCGGGGCGCGCAGGGCTGCAGGGCGCGCAGGGCAGCAGGACAGCAGGGCGCGCAGGGCGCGCAGGGCTGCAGGGCGCACGGGGCGCAGCAGGGCTGCAGGGCACGCGGGGCGCGCAGGGCAGCAGCAAGGGCTGTAGCGGCAACAGCAAGGGCTGTAGCAGCAGCAGCAGGGCAGCAGGGCGCGCGGGGCGCAGCAGGGCTGCAGGGCGCGCGGGGCGCGCAGGGCAGCAGCAAGGGCTGTAGCGGCAACAGCAAGGGCTGTAGCGGCAGCAGCAGGGCAGCAGGGCGCACAGGGCTGCATGGCAGCAGGGCGCACAGGGCTGCAGGGCAGCAGGGCAGCAGGGCGCGCGGGGCGCGCAGGGCTGCAGTGCGCTCAGGGCGCGCAGGGCAGCAGGACAGCAGGGCGCGCAGGGCTGCAGGGCGCACGGGGCGCAGCAGGGCTGCAGGGCGCGCGGGGCGCGCAGGGCTGCAGGGCGCGCAGTGCGCGCAGGGCAGCAGGACAGCAGGGCGTGCAGGGCGCGCAGGGCGCGCAGGGCTGCAGGGCGCACGGGGCGCAGCAGGGCTGCAGGGCGCGCGGGGCGCGCAGGGCAGCAGCAAGGGCTGTAGCGGCAACAGCAAGGGCTGTAGCGGCAGCAGCAGGGCAGCAGGGCGCACAGGGCTGCAGATCCCCTCCCCCCCACTGCTGCACCCGCAGCAGGGGGATGGAGGAGAAGTGTGGGGGGGGGGGGGGAGGGGCTGATGCTGCAAATCCCCTCCCCCAACTGCTGCTGCAGATCCCCTCCCCCCCACTGCTGCACCCACAGCAGGGGTGGAGGAGAAAGGGGGGGGGGGGGGGGGGGGCGGGGGGGGCTGGTGCTGCAGATCCCCTCCTGCCTCCCCCTGAACCTCCAAGCTCCCCCCCCTCCCAACACAGGGTGCGGCAGGGAGAGAGAGAGGAGAAAAGGGCTGGGGGGGGGGGGGGGGGGGGCGCGGGGGGGGGGCTGATGCTGCAAATCCCCTCCCCCAACTGCTGCTGCAGATCCCCTCCCCCCCACTGCTGCACCCGCAGCAGGGGTGGAGGAGAAAAGGGGGGGGGGCGGGGGGGTGGGGGCTGGTGCTGCAGATCCCCTCCTGCCTCCTGCAGGTTGGCCACACCCGCCACCCCCATACCCTCCCCCCCACTGCTGCACCCGCAGCAGAGAGATGGAGGAGAAGGGGGGGGGGGGGGGGGGGGAAACGGGGGGTGGGGGGGGGGGGGGGGGGGGGGGGTGGCTGGTGCTGCAGGTCCCCTCCCCCAACTGCCGCATCCGCAGCAGGGGGATGGCAGATCGCTTCCCCCCCACTGCTGCACCCACAGCAGGGGGAGGTAGGAGAAGGGGCGGTGCAAGAGCCGCTCGGGCGACAGCAGGTTGGCCACACCCGCCACCCCCATACCCTCCCCCCCACTGCTGTGTCGCGATATATATTTATATATGTTTATAACTGCCTGTAGCTTTAGCTTTAGTGTAGTTATGTTTCTTTGTTGTGGTGGTGCACCTCTTTGTTTCTTTGCTATATGTTCTTGCAAACCTATAGTGAAGACACACATTCTCGACATTCCTCCTTGGCACAAGCTACTCACGATACCCTTGGCCTAGGCTACTAAGCCTAGGCCCTTCTTAAACCCGGTTACCAGCTAAGCTAGTCTCGTGACATGCTGCAGCTGAGGCACATCCGCCACCCCCTCACACCCTCTCCCCGCCATCCCCATGGAGGGGGGAGAGGGGGGGGAGGGGGGCGGGGGCGGAGCTGCGCGTGCGACTGTAGGGTACGCGGGCAGGAGGTACCCCCTCTTGCCACCCCCTCACCCACCATGTTGCAACAGGGCACCGGGGCCGCGGGTAGGGGCGGCAGATCGCGAGGGGCCATGGCCAGGGGCGACGGGGCCATGGCTAGGGGCGACGGGGCCATGGCTAGGGACGGGGCCGGGCGCTGGGCAGGTACAGGGCCGGGCGCTGGGCAGGTACGGGGCCGGGCGCTGGGCAGGTACGGGGCCGGGCGCTGGGCTAGGTACGGGCCGGGCGACGGGCTAGGTACGGGCCGGGCGCGGGCGACGAAGTCGACGGGGCCAGCGGGGCCGAGGCGACGGGCTAGGTACGGGCCGGGCGCGGGCAAGAGACGGGGCCGGGCGCTGGGCGAAGGACGGGGCCAGGCGCGGGCTTGGTACGGGCCGGGCACGGGGCTAGGAACGGGGCCGAGCGCGGGCTAGGTACGGGCCGGGCGCGAGGCTAGGTACGAGCCGAGCGACGGGCTAGGTACGGGCCGGGCGACGGGCTAGGTACGGGCCGGGCGCGGGCGACGAAGTCGACGGGGCCAGCGGGGCCGAGGCGACGGGCTAGGTACGGGCCGGGCGACGGGCTAGGTACGGGCCGGGCGCGGGCAGGAGACGGGGCCGGGCGCGGGCTAGGTACGGGTCGGGCGACGGGCTAGGTACGGGCCGGGCGCGGGCGACGAAGTCGACGGGGCCAGCGGGGCCGAGGCGACGGGCTAGGTACTGGCCGGGCGACGGGCTAGGTAAGGGCCGGGCGACGGGCTAGGTACGGGCCGGGCGTCGGGCTAGGTACGGGCCGGGCGCGGGCAGGAGACGGGGCCGGGCGACGGGCTAGGTACGGGCCGGGCGACGGGCTAGGTACGGGCCGGGCGCGGGCGACGAAGTCGACGGGGCCAGCGGGGCCGAGGCGACGGGGCCAAGGGGCCGAGCCTAGGGGCTAGGGGCGACGCCAAGGGGCGACGGGCCGGGGCCTAGGCTAGCAGGGCAGTAGGTGGTGGGCCCATTAACATTAGGTCCTAGGATAGTTATGCTCTTAATACCATGTGAGAATCCTAGCGTGACTTAGGAGCCATGGCTAGGTTAGAGTATCGAGAGAGTTTAGTGTCGAGAGAATTGGAAAGGAGAATCTCGAGAGGAATGAATGATTCACTAGCAAGAGTTGGGATACAAATACAAGACCCTAAATTGGGTTGTACTCACTACAGAGTACCCCACTGCAGGCTAGATAACAAATACATTCTGACATAGCACGGATCCAAGGGATCAAAACACCGCTGACGTCCGCCTTGTGCCGCAAGGGGAAGACAGTGGTATAACGTGTGTAGTCGTCAACAACCAGCAGGAAGTAGCGCTCCTGGTCCGTTCCACCGACGGGGGCTGGGCCCCAAACGTCCATGTGGAGAGTCTGTAGAGCAGCAGTGGTCGGAGGAAACTCGGAGGAGTGAGGAGCGGCGCGCTGCCGCCCCTTGACACAGGGAAGGCACGGCGGGGCAGGCGAGCGCGGGAGGGAGGGCAGGGACCTCGGATGGCCAGAGACAAGGAGACGGGAGTGCATACCGCGGAGACGCGGTAGCCAGGGGTGACCGAGGTAGTGGTGCCAGAGGAGAGTCTGGTGGGAGAGTACCCGACACGAGCAAGACGCTGCAAGCTGACCAGACGCTGCAAGCTGAACAGACGCAGCCACCTTACCTGCCTCAGCCACCTGTGCAGACGCAGTGGTCAGTGTGTACAGACTAGACCCAGGCCGTCGAGTGAACGTAGCAAGGTGAAGGCCAGTCCGGGAGCACGTACAGATCGCCGCACGCTGCCCTCAAGGAATAAAGGTATCAACCCAGACATCCTGAATGGCAGTGTTGCTCACCAAGTTCGTCAAGAACGTGGGGAGGTGGAGACCTGACAAAGAACCGGAGGGGACTTCTGGACATGGGAGGACAGTGGAGGCTCGAGCGACTACTGGGCCCCCAGTGGGGTCAGTCAGTGAGACCGGTACCGGTGCAGCAAGTGGTGTGAGTGTGGTGCAGTCACAAAAGAAACAACGTGACGCGCCTGAGTCAAGTGTGAAAGTGTGCAAGGCCTCAGCTGAGGAAGGACCTGTGGCAGGAGACGCACGAGCACCTAAAGCTGCAGCAGATTCACTAGCACCTAGTGCTGCAGCAGACTCACTAGCACCTAGTGCGGCAGCAGACTCACTAGCACCTAATGCAGCAGCCTCGACAGAACCAGTGACACATCGCTGAGGAAACAACTCACTAAGCACCTGAGAGGAGAAGGTCTCCTGCTGACTCTGCTGCCACCTCTGTGCAGTACGTAGAAAACCAAAGCCTCCACCACCTGGACGGGCTCGCTGAAGAGCCCAATCGCGAAGCTGCTGAGGGGTGGGGTCGTCCGGGAGAGGCAGTGATCACCGCTGTCCACCCCTAGCCGCTGCAACTGCCGTGATAGTGGCCATGACAGGCAGTGACGATCAGTAGTAGGTCCAGCACCCCCGGCACCAGCAACACCTCCAACACTCTCAGCAGCACCTCCACCAGCAGCAGCAGTAGAACGAGTAGTAGCAGTAGTAGCACGAGCAGCAGCAGCAGCAGTAGTGGCAGCAGGGCGGCTCGGTGGGGCTGGTGATCAAGGTAGGGCGGCGTGGCTTGGGTTGGGCAGGTTGGCTCGGGCTGGGCGGCGCTCCTCGGCCGAGCAGGGCGCGCCGTGGGCTGCAGGACAGGGCGCGCGGTAGACAGGGCAGCACGGCACGCGCTGTGCAGGGCAGCAGGGCGCGACGTGTGGGGCAGCAGAGCGCGACGCGCTGGCTGTAGCAGGGCGCGACGTGAGGGGCAGCAGAGCGCGACGCGCTGGCTGCAGTAGGGCGTGACGCGCTGGCTGTAGCAGGGCGCGACGCGCAGGGCAGCAGAGCGCGACGTGCTGGCTGCACTAGGGCGCGACACGCTGGCTGCACTAGGGCGCGACGCGCTGGCTGCAGCAGGGCGCTGCGAAGAAACACTCTACAATGGTAGTGAGCTAGACTACGGGGGTTGGCACGAACTACTAGGAGTGATCGTAGCTTTGCCTAGTTCCTTAGTGCTTGCACAATCACGGGAGAAATTGGCTTTCCACTAGCCAAGTTGGAATTACAGAATTGTTGAACAAGCAATGACAACAATAACTACATCAGGCACCTAGCAACTCTGCAGCTAGCCTGGTTGACCGACGGCACACCATGGTCGACTGCCTGCCAGTGTTGCGTAGAGGAGCCGTGCCAGCACTGCAGAAAGGCGACCTGCCAACACAGCAGGTCGACGGTGAGCCAACGCTGTAGCAGAGCGGCTGTCCAGCGTTGCCCCGTAGAAGACAGCAGTGCGCACGCTCGCAGATGCGCGCAGACGATTGGCCCGACTTGCACCGTTGTGCATCCGTCGGCTGTTGTCTGCGCCTGACAAGCCACATCGACTTTGGGATACCAACCCGAAGTCGCCTTCGCCATCGCGACCTCGACGACGTTTGCGTGCCTCCGCAGAACTCGCCGAGCAGGTTACCTGGTCGACCTGGACAACCCCAGGTGCTCTGGTCGACCACCAAGTGCCTCTGGTCGACCACCGGGTCCCTCTGGTTGACCACCAGGTGCCCCTGGTCGACCACAGCTCCCGTCGAGCTACCCCCTGGTCGATGGACCCCTTCCGTCGACCAGAACTGTTAGCTCTTGTCGCCGAGCTCCCCTAGTCGACCGCTGATCACTTCTCAGGTCGACAGACTACTCCGTAGACCTCCCGGTCGAACTGCCCCTCCTGGTCGATGGCCCACCCGTCGCCCAGACCAGACAGTTACAGCTGTCGAGCTCCCTGGTCGACAGCAACACCACAGCGGTCCCCTGCAGCTCAACGAAGCCTGTCGAGCAGCTCTCCCACAGTGAACGATCGGCTGCTACTCCCGTACATCCGACCAAGTCGTCGGCGTTGCCCAAGCGAGGGCGGGGCCAACACTCCATTCCCGTTAACACTCCCCTGACTGTTGGCTGCTCGGTGGTCGGGATGTACTTCAGTACAAACTTCCCGCGCCTCACCATGTGCTGCAGCTAGGCGTAGCGACGCTCCATGTGCTTGAGGTTGCCCGTCAGCCCCAAGCTCTCAGCGACCGTGATTGCCGACTTGTTGTCAACGCGGAGGATGGTCGGCTTCCCAGCGTCGAGTAGCTTGAATTCCGCAAGAAGGAAACAAAGTCGGCGTCCCTCCTTGCCCCCATCCGTGGCCGCCACGTACTCTGACTCGGTCTATGACAATGTCACGCACTTGATGCGCGAGCTCGACCAGGAGACGGCGGCCCCTCCATAGACGAACACGTAGCCTCCCGTGCTCGTCCAGTTCTGCTTGTCGCTCGCGTCGTCGGCGTCCACGTAGCCGATCAGCTCCAGCGACTCTGGTCCACCGCTGAAATCCAGGGCGGTGTCGCGGGTGTCAGCGAGGTAGGCGAGGCATCGGTCGACCTCGCACCAATGCTGGTCGCTCCTTACCGTGAGGCTGCTCCCCAGCTTGCTGCAGGCGAATGCGATGTCCGGCCTTGTCGTCGTCGCTGCGAACTGCAGCGAGCCAACCTTCTGCCGGTACTCCTCCTCCTCGCGCTCCTGCGCCTCCTCGTTGTCGAATGTCAGCTCGGCGTAGGCATCGATCGAGACCGGCGTCTTCGGGACTCGACCTCCCTGCTCCTCGTCGATGAAGCGCCTGCGCAGCTTGTCGGCGTAGCCCTGCTGGTGAAGCCACAGCTTCCTTGCTGGCTTGTTGCGCACGATCTCCAGCCCAAGGTACTTGACGACCTGCGAAATCTCGCGCAGCTCGAAGGCAGCCTTTAGCAGCTCCTTTAGCTCCTTCAGCATCGCAGGGCTGCCGCTGGCGGCGAGAAGGTCGTCGACGTAGACCAGCACCCAGCAGGTCACTCCGTTGTCGCTGGCCTTTAAGTAGAGCGCCTCGTCAACCTGGCTCTTCTTCCAGCCAGCGCCCAGCAGCACATCGTCGAGTGCCCTGTACCAAAGCAATGGTGACTGCTTCAGCCCGTAGAGGCTCTTCAGCAGCTTACACACCCGGCTGGTCCCATCGTC